TCATTCACTCATTCATTCACTCAGTCAGTCACTCATTCACTCAGTCAGTTACTCAGTCAGTCAGTCACTCATTCAGTCACTCAGTCAGTCACTCACTCACTCAGTCACTCACTCATTCAGTCACCCACTCAGTCACTCAGTCAGTCAGTCATTCAGTCACTCAGTCAGTCACTCATTCAGTCACTCATTCACTCAGTCAGTCACTCACTCAATCACTCAGTCAGTCATTCAGTCACTCAGTCACTCATTCACTCAGTCAGTCAGTCACTCAGTCACTCACTCAGTCACTCAGTCACTCACTCATTCACTCAGTCACTCAGTCACCCACTCCTTCACTCATTCAGTCACTCATTCATTCATTCAATCACTCACCTGTTGTGTGTGTATATTGTGTGTGTATGTCACTGTGTATGTTGCGAGTGGTGGTGCAGTGGTTAGCGCACTGTGTGTGTGTGTGTGAGTGGGGAGTGGTGGTGCAGTGGTTAGCGCACTGTGTGTGTGTGAGTGGGGAGTGGTGGTGTAGTGGTTAGCGCACTGTGTGTGTGTGAGTGGGGAGTGGTGGTGCAGTGGTTAGCGCACTGTGTGTGTGAGTGGGGAGTGGTGGTGTAGTGGTTAGCGCACTATGTGTGTGAGTGGGGACTGGTGGTGCAGTGGTTAGCGCACTGTGTGTGTGTGAGTGGGGAGCGGTGGTGTAGTGGTTAGCGCACTGTGTGTGTGTGAGTAGGGAGTGGTGGTGCAGTGGTTAGCGCACTGTGTGTGTGAGTGGGGACTGGTGGTGCAGTGGTTAGCGCACTGTGTGTGTGAGTGGGGACTGGTGGTGCAGTGGTTAGCGCACTGTGTGTGTGAGTGAGGAGTGGTGGTGCAGTGGTTAGCGCACTGTGTGTGTGAGTGGGGAGTGGTGGTGCAGTGGTTAGCGCACTGTGTGTGTGAGTGGGGAGTAGTGGTGCAGTGGTTAGCGCACTGTGTGTGAGTGAGGAGTGGTGGTGCAGTGGTTAGCGCACTGTGTGTGTGAGTGGGGAGCGGTGGTGCAGTGGTTAGCGCACTGTGTGTGTGTGTGTAGTACATAGACACTGCTGCTGCTACTCGCTAGCTAACAGCACTTGCCCCTACAGCCCTGCTAGAGGCTACCTGGGGGAGCTTTGTCTGTGGAGCGGTGGCGCTTTGATTGTGTAACGTGAGCCGCGTGCCATCTGCTGCAGTGAGCTCGGAGTTGGAGCTGTGAGAGAGACACTCACCTACACACACACACACCTACACACAGACACACACACCTACACACAGACACACACACCTACACACACACACACCTACACACAGGCACACACCTACACACACACACCTACACACACACACCTACACACACACACACACCTACACACAGACACACACCTACACACACACCTACACACACACACCTACACACACCTACACACAGACACACACACCTACACACACACACACCTACACACAGACACACACCTACACACACACACCTACACACACACACCTACACACACACACCTACACACACACACACACCTACACACAGACACACACCTACACACACACACCTACACACACACACCTACACACAGACACACACACACCTACACACAGACACACACACCTACACACACACACCTACACACACAGACACACCTACACACACTCACCTACACACACAACTACACACACACACAGACACACACACACAGTGACACACACAGACACACACACCTACACCTACACACAGACACACCTACACACACTCACCTACACACACACCTACACACACACACAGACACACACACACCTACACACACTCACCTACACACACACCTACACACACACACAGACACACACACACCTACACACACACACCCACACACACACAGTGACACACACACCTACACACAGACACACCTACACACACACAGTGACACACACAGACACACACACAGACACACACACACCTACACCTACACACAGACACACACACAGACACACACACAGACACACACACCTACACACACACACCTACACACACACACAGACACACACCTACACACACACAGACACACACACCTACACACACACCTACACACACACACCTACACACACACACCTACAGACACACACACCTACACACCTACACACACACACATCTACACACACACATCTACACACAGACACACACAGACATACCTACACACAGACACACACACAGAGACACACACACCTACACACACACACCTACACACACAGAGACGCACACACCTACACACACACACCTACACACAGCCACACACACCTACACACAGAGTCACACAGACACACACTCACCTACACACACAGACACACACCTACACACACATACAACTACACACACTCACCTACACCACACACACCTACACACACTCCTACACACCCCTACACACACACCTACACACACACACAGAGTGTCTCTGTGTCTCTCTCTGTGTCTCTCTGTGTCTCTCTGTGTCTCTTTGTGTCTCTCTATGTCTCTATCTGTGTATTTCTCTTTGTCTCTCTGTGTCTCTATCTCTGTGTCTCTTTGTGTCTCTCTGTGTCTCTCTGTGTCTCTCTGTGTCTCTCTCTTTGTCTCTCTGTGTCTCTCTGTGTCTCTCTGTGTCTCTCTCTTTGTCTCTCTGTGTCTCTCTGTCTCTCTGTGTCTCTATCTTTGTGTCTCTCTGTGTCTCTCTGTCTCTCTGTGTCTCTATCTTTGTGTCTCTCTGTGTCTCTCTGTCTCTCTGTGTCTCTCTCTCTGTGTCTCTCTCTGTCTCTCTCTCTCTGTGTGTCTCTCTGTGTTTCTCTCTCTCTGTCTCTCTGTGTTTCTCTCTCTCTGTCTCTCTGTGTTTCTCTCTCTCTGTGTGTCTCTCTGTCTCTCTCTCTCTCTGTGTCTCTCTGTGTTTCTCTCTCTCTGTCTCTCTGTGTTTCTCTTTGTCTCTCTCTCTCCGTGCCTGCTAATCCCATTAACCGCGTCTCTTTCTGTCTGTGTCTCTCTGTGTGTGCCTCTCTCTCTCTCTGTGTCTCTGTGTCTCTCTGTGTATCTCTCTTTGTCTCTGTATGTCTGTGTCTCTCTCTGTCTCTCTGTCTCTCTCTCTCTGTGTCTGTGTATCTCTGTGTCTCTCTGTGCCTGCTAATCTCATTAACCGCGTCTCTCTCTCTCTCTCTGTGTCTCTGTGTCTCTCTGTGTGTCTCTGTGTGTCTTTCTCTGTCTCTCTGTGTGTCTCTCTCTCGCTCTCTGTCTCTCTGTCTCTCTCTGTGTCTCTCTCTGTGTCTCTCTCTGTGTCTCTCTCTGTCTCTCTCTGTCTCTCTGTGTCTCTCTGTGTCTCTCTGTGTGTCTCTCTCTGTGTCTCTCTCTGTCTCTCTGTCTCTCTCTGTCTCTCTGTGTCTCTCTGTGTCTCTCTGTGTGTCTTTCTCTGTCTCTCTGTGTGTCTCTCTCTCGCTCTCTGTCTCTCTGTCTCTCTCTGTGTGTCTCTCTCTGTCTCTCTGTGTCTCTCTCTGTGTCTCTCTCTGTGTCTCTCTCTGTGTCTCTCTCTCTGTCTCTCTCTCTGTGTGTCTCTCTCTCTGTCTCTCTGTGTCTCTGTGTCTCTCTCTGTGTCTCTCTCTGTGTCTCTCTCTCTGTCTCTCTCTGTGTGTCTCTCTCTCTGTCTCTCTGTGTCTCCTCTCTGTCTCTGTGTCTCTCTCTGTGTCTCTCTCTCTCTGTGTCTCTCTCTGTGTCTCTCTCTGTGTCTCTCTCTCTGTCTCTCTCTCTGTGTGTCTCTCTCTCTGTGTCTCTGTGTCTCTCTCTGTCTCTGTGTCTCTCTCTGTGTCTCTCTCTCTCTGTGTCTCTCTCTGTGTCTCTCTCTGTGTCTCTCTCTCTGTCTCTCTCTCTGTCTCTCTCTCTGTGTCTCTGTGTCTCTCTCTGTGTCTCTGTGTCTCTCTCTGTCTCTCTGTGTCTCTCTCTGTGTCTCTCTCTCTGTCTCTCTCTCTGTGTCTCTCTGTGTCTCTCTCTGTGTCTCTGTGTCTCTCTCTGTCTCCCCGTGTGTCTCTCTCTGTGTCTCTCTATCTCTCTGTGTGTCTCTCTGTCTCTCTGTGTGTGTCTCTCTCTCTCTGTATCTCTGTCTCTCTGTGTCTCTCTCTGTCTCTCTCTGTCTCTGTGTCTCTCTCTGTGTCTCTCTGTCTCTCTCTGTCTCTCTCTGTGTCTCTCTCTCTCTCTCTGTGTCTCTCTCTGTTTCTCTGTGTCTCTCTCTGTGCCTGTTAATCCCATTAACCGCGTCTCTCATCGAGATGGATGCGTTCCCGGCTGGTGGGAGACATGTCAGCTTGGTTGTTCCTGGGGGTGACCCTTCTACCCCCCCTCTCCCCCCTCTCCCCCCTCTCCCCCCCTCTCCCCCCCTCTCCCCCCTCTCCCCCCCCTCTCCCCCCTCTCCCCCCCCCCCCCTCTCCCCCCTCTCCCCCCCTCTCCCCCCCTCTCCCCCCCTCTCCCCCCTCTCTCTTTGTCGTGTAAATCAGGGGGGGTGGTGGGGGGTGTTTTGTGTGTTTCTGCGTGACTCTGTGAGTTAGCCAGTCTCTCTGTTTAACCAAGCGACGAACATCTGCCGCTGTGACCCTCCCCACTACCCACCCACTACCCACCCACTACCCACCACCACATCTCTCTCTATATCTCTATAGCAAGCTATATATCTTCTCTATGTCATGGGTGGGTGGGTGGGTGAGTGAGTGAGTGGGTGGGTGAGTGAGTGGGTGGGTGAGTGAGTGGGTGGGTGAGTGAGTGAGTGAGTGGGTGGGTGAGTGGGTGAGTGAGTGGGTGGGTGGGTGAGTGAGTGGGTGGGTGAGTGGGTGGGTGGGTGGGTGAGTGAGTGAGTGGGTGGGTGAGTGGGTGGGTGGGTGGGTGAGTGGGTGGGTGGGTGAGTGGGTGAGTGAGTGAGTGAGTGGGTGAGTGGGTGAGTGAGTGAGTGGGTGAGTGGGTGGGTGAGTGAGTGAGTGGGTGAGTGGGTGGGTGAGTGGGTGAGTGAGTGGGTGGGTGGGTGAGTGGGTGGGTGAGTGAGTGAGTGAGTGGGTGGGTGAGTGGGTGAGTGGGTGGGTGGGTGGGTGAGTGGGTGGGTGGGTGGGTGAGTGAGTGGGTGAGTGAGTGGGTGGGTGAGTGGGTGAGTGGGTGAGTGGGTGAGTGGGTGGGTGAGTGGGTGAGTGGGTGGGTGAGTGGGTGAGTAAGTGGGTGAGTGAGTGGGTGAGTGAGGTGAGTGAGTGGGTGGGTGGGTGAGTGGGTGAGTGAGTGAGTGGGTGGGTGAGTGAGTGGGTGGGTGGGTGAGTGGGTGGGTGGGTGAGTGAGTGAGTGGGTGAGTGAGTGGGTGAGTGAGTGGGTGGGTGGTGGGTGAGTGGGTGAGTGGGTGAGTGGGTGAGTGGGTGGGTGAGTGGGTGAGTGAGTGGGTGAATGAGTGAGTGCGTGGCTGAGTGAGTGAATGAGTGAGTGGGTGGGTGAGTGAGTGGGTGAGTGGGTGAGTGAGTGAATGAGTGAGTGAGTGGGTGGGTGAGTGGGTGAGTGAGTGAGTGGGTGAGTGAGTGAGTGGGTGAATGAGTGGGTGAGTGGGTGAGTGGGTGAATGAGTGGGGTGAGTGAGTGAGTGAATGAGTGAGTGAGTGGGTGAGTGAGTGGGTGAGTGAGTGGGTGAGTGAGTGGGTGAGTGAATGAGTGAGTGAGTGGGTGAGTGAGTGAGTGGGTGAGTGAATGAGTGAGTGAGTGGGTGAGTGAGTGAGTGAATGAGTGAGTGAGTGGGTGAGTGAGTGGGTGAGTGAATGAGTGAGTGGGTGAGTGAGTGGGTGAGTGAGTGAGTGGGTGAGTGAGTGAGTGAATGGGTGAGTGAATGAGTGAGTGGGTGAGTAAGTGAGTGGGTGAGTGAGTGTATGAGTAGATGAGTGGGTGAGTGAATGAGTGAGTGAGTGGGTGAGTGAATGAGTGAATGAGTGAGTGAGTGAGTGGGTGAATGAGTGAGTGAGTAGATGAGTGAGTGCTCGCTCCACACAGCACTTGCCCCTATACCAGCCCTGCCAGAGGCTACCCGGGGTAGCTTTGTCTTTGCCCGCGAAGTGAAACCAGCTGAAGCATCCCCCCTGAAGGCCCCGCCCCCCGGTCCCTCCCCCCCAGCCCCTCCCCCCTCCCAGCCCGTCTTTGTCTTCCCGCACAATGGGAGAGGGTGGGGGGGGGTGAGGGGGAGAGGGTGGGGGGGGGTGAGGGGGGGAGGGGGGTGAGAAGCAAAGACTCTGAACATATGTCTTGTGACACACAGACACACACAGTGACACACAGAGAGAGACACACAGAGACACACACAGTGACACACACAGAGACACACACAGAGACACACACAGAGACGCACACAGACACACAGAGACACACACACAGACACACAGTGACACACAGTGACACACACACAGTGACACACAGTGACACACACACACAGACACACACACAGTGACACACACACAGTGACACACACACAGACACACAGTGACACACACAGTAACACAGTGACACACACACAGTGACACACAGTGACACACACACAGTGACACACACACAGTGTCTCTGTGTGTGTGTAACTGTGTGTGTCTCTCTCTGTGTCTGTGTATGTGTCTCTGTGTGTGTGTCTGTGTGTGTCTCTCTGTGTGTGTCTGTGTGCGTCTCTCTGTGTGTGTCTGTGTGTGTGTCACTGTGTGTGTGTGTCACTGTGTGTAACTGTGTGTCTGTGTGTGTGTCTCTCTCTCTGTGTGTGTATGTGTGTCACTGTGTGTGTAACTGTGTGTGTGTCTCTCTCTCTGTGTGTGTATGTGTGTGTCTCTCTCTGTGTGTGTCTCTGTGTGTCTCTCTCTGTGTGTGTGTCACTGTGTGTGTGTGTCACTGTGTGTAACTGTGTGTCTGTGTGTGTGTCTCTCTCTCTGTGTGTGTTTGTGTGTCACTGTGTGTGTAACTGTGTGTGTGTCTCTCTCTCTGTGTGTGTATGTGTGTCACTGTGTGTGTCTCTCTCTGTGTGTGTGTCACTGTGTGTGTGTCACTGTGTGTAACTGTGTGTCTGTGTGTGTGTCTCTCTCTCTGTGTGTGTTTGTGTGTCACTGTGTGTGTAACTGTGTGTGTGTCTCTCTCTCTGTGTGTGTATGTGTGTCACTGTGTGTGTCTCTCTCTCTGTGTGAATGATAATTCACGTCTGATATGCCGTGGTCAGCTCATTTACACTTGAATAGAAGGGGAGAGAGAGGGGGGAGAGAGGGGGGGAGACACATTGAGCCTCAATCTGTCACGGGGAGAATAACGGGGGGAGGGAGACACGGGGGGGGGGGGAGAGACACGGGGAGAGGGACACGGGGTGGGGGGAGAGACACGGGGAGAGAGACACGGGGAGAGAGAGACACGGGGAGAGAGAGACACGGGGGGAGAGAGACACGGGGGGAGAGAGACACGGGGAGAGAGACACGGAGAGAGAGACACGGGGAGAGAGACACGGGGAGAGAGAAACACGGGGGGAGAATAACGGGGGGAGGGAGACACGGGGAGAGAGACACGGGGGGAGAGACACGGGGGGAGAGACACACTCATAGAGACCCACAGAGACCCACAGAGACCCACACTCACAGAGACCCATAGAGACCCACAGAGACCCACACTCATAGAGACCCACAGAGACCCACACTCATAGAGACCCACAGAGACTCACAGAGACCCATACTCATAGAGACCCACAGAGACCCACAGAGACCCACACTCATAGAGACCCACAGAGACCCACAGAGACCCATACTCATAGAGACCCACAGAGACCCACAGAGACCCATACTCATAGAGACCCACAGAGACCCACAGAGACCCACACTCATAGAGACCCACAGAGACCCATACTCATAGAGACCCACAGAGACCCACAGAGACCCACACTCACAGAGACCCATAGAGACCCATAGAGACCCACAGAGACCCACAGAGACCCACACTCATAGAGACCCACAGAGACCCACAGAGACCCACACTCACAGAGATACACAGAGACCCATACTCATAGAGACCCACACTCACAGAGATACACAGAGACCCACACCCATAGAGACCCACACTCACAGAGACCCATAGAGACCCATAGAGACCCACAGAGACTCATAGAGACCCACAGAGACCCACAGAGACCCACAGAGACCCACAGAGACTCATAGAGACCCACAGAGACCCACAGAGACCCACAGAGACTCATAGAGACCCACAGAGACCCACAGAGACCCACAGAGACCCACACTCATAGAGACCCACAGAGACCCACACTCATAGAGACCCACAGAGACCCACACTCATAGAGACCCACAGAGACCCAGACTCATAGAGACCCACAGAGACCCACAGAGACCCACACTCATAGAGACCCACAGAGACCCACACTCATAGAGACCCACAGAGACCCACACTCATAGAGACCCACAGAGACTCACAGAGACCCACACTCATAGAGACCCACAGAGACCCACACTCATAGAGACCCACAGAGACCCACAGAGACCCACACTCACAGAGATACACAGAGACCCATACTCATAGAGACCCACACTCACAGAGATACACAGAGACCCACACCCATAGAGACCCACAGAGACCCACACTCACAGAGACCCATAGAGACCCATAGAGACCCACAGAGACCCACAGAGACCCACAGAGACCCACAGAGACTCATCGAGACCCACAGAGACCCACAGAGACCCACAGAGACCCACAGAGACTCATCGAGACCCACAGAGACCCACAGAGACCCACAGAGACCCACACTCATAGAGACCCACAGAGACCCACACTCATAGAGACCCACAGAGACCCACACTCATAGAGACCCACAGAGACCCAGACTCATAGAGACCCACAGAGACCCACAGAGACCCACACTCATAGAGACCCACAGAGACCCACACTCATAGAGACCCACAGAGACCCACACTCATAGAGACCCACAGAGACTCACAGAGACCCACACTCATAGAGACCCACAGAGACCCACACTCATAGAGACCCACAGAGACCCACAGAGACCCACACTCATAGAGACCCACAGAGACTCACAGAGACCCACACTCATAGAGACCCACAGAGACCCACACTCATAGAGACCCACAGAGACCCACAGAGACTCACAGAGACCCACACTCATAGAGACCCACAGAGACCCACAGAGACCCACACTCATAGAGACCCACAGAGACCCACAGAGACCCACACTCATAGAGACCCACAGAGACTCACAGAGACCCACACTCATAGAGACCCACAGAGACCCACACTCATAGAGACCCACAGAGACCCACAGAGACCCACACTCATAGAGACCCACAGAGACCCACAGAGACCCACAATCACAGAAACCCACAGAGACCCACAGAGACTCACAGAGACCCACAGAGACTCATAGAGACCCATACTAAAACTAATCTCTGTTTATGTTACCAGCTGTAAGATGGGGAGATAGTGGGGGGAGGGTGGTGAGCGTGGGGGGAGGGTGGGGGGAGGGTGGGGGGAGAGTGGTGGTGCTGAGCGTGGGGAGAGGGGGTGGGGGGGGACGAGTGAGCATGGTGGGGAGGGTGGAGTGGGCAGGGTGGAGTGTGGGGGGTGGAGTGTGTGGGGGGTGGGTGGACATGAGCTATGAGCGTGACGCCTAAGCAGACGTTGCAAATTGTGCTGCTACCGTTTCGCTTGGAGCGAGCCGGAGACAATGGGGGAGGGAGACAATGGGGGAGACAATAGGGGAGGGAGGAAGACAATGGGAGGGAGACAATGGGGGAGGGAGACAATGGGGGAGGGAGACAATGGGGGAGGGAGACAATGGGGGAGACAATGGGGGAGGGAGACACTCACAATGGCGTTAATGCGGCGAGGAGAGGGAGGGTAGTGGATTTGTAAAACAGAGAATGTGTAAAATGTAAATCATGGTGTGTGTGTGTGAGTGTGTCTGTGTGTGTGTGTGTGTCACTGTGTGTCACTGTGTGTGTGTGTCTGTGTGTGTGTGTCTGTGTGTGTGTCTGAGAGTGTGTGTCTGTATGTATGTGTCTGTGTGTGTGTGTGTGTGTCACTGTGTGTCACTGTGTGTATGTGTCTGTGTGTGTGTCTGTGTGTGTGAGTGTGTGTGAGTGTGTGTGTGTGTCACTGTGTGTCACTGTGTGTGTGTGTGTCTGTGTGTGTGTGTCTGTGTGTGTGTCTGAGAGTGTGTGTCTGTATGTATGTGTCTGTGTGTGTGTGTGTGTGTCACTGTGTGTCACTGTGTGTATGTGTCTGTGTGTGTGTGTGTCTGTGTGTGTGAGTGTGTGTGTGTCACTGTGTGTCACTGTGTGTGTGTGAGTGTGTTTGTGCGTGTGAGTGTGTGTGTGAGAGTGAGTGTGTGTCTGTATGTATGTGTCTGTGTGTGTGAGTGTGAGTGAGTGTCTGTGTGTCTCTGTGTCTCTGTGTGTGTCTCTGTGTGTGTGTCTGTGTATCTGTGTGTGTCTGTCTGTTTGTGTGTGTGTCTGTGTGTGTGTCTGTGTGTCTTTGTGTGTGTCTGTCTGTTTGTGTGTGTGTCTGTGTGTGTGTCTGTGTGTCTTTGTGTGTGTCTGTGTGTGTGTGTCTGTGTGGCTGTGTGTGAGTCTCTGTGTGTGTGTGTGAGTCTCTGTGTGTGTGTCTGTGTATCTGTGTATCTGTGTGTGTGTCTGTGTGTCTGTGTGTGTGTCTGTGTATCTGTGTGTGTGTGTGTCTCTGTGTGTGTGTCTCTGTGTGTGTGTCTCTGTGTGTCTCTGTGTATGTGCGTGTGTCTGTGTGTGAGTCTCTGTGTCTCTGTGTGTGTCTGTGTGTGTGTCTGTGTGTGTGTCTGTGTATCTGTGTGTGTGTCTGTGTGTCTGTGTGTGTGTGTCTGTGTGTGTGTCTGTGTATCTGTGTGTGAGTCTCTGTGTGTGTGTCTGTGTGTGTGTGTGTCTGTGTGTGTGTCTCAGTGTATGTGTGTGTGTCTGTGTGTGAGTCTCTGTGTCTCTGTGTATCTGTGTGTGTGTCTGTGTGTGTCTGTGTGTGTCTCTGTGTGTGTGTCTGTGTGTGTGTCTGTGTGTGTGTATCTGTGTGTCTCTGTGTATCTGTGTGTGTCTCTGTGTGTGTCTGTCTGTGTGTGTCTTTGTTTGTATGTATGAGGCAGAGAGAGTGGGGGGGGGGAGAGAAATACACCGAGGGCGAGAGAGGGCAGATTTGTAAATGTAAGAATGTGTAAATCAGGGAGCAGGCGAGAGAGAGAGAGAGGAGAGGGGGGGGATTGTGAATCTAAAGGATGTGTAAATTATGGCGTCTGTATGGGGGGAGTGGTGGCACAGTGGTTAGCGCACTGTGGGGTGGGTAGGGGGGTGGGTGGGTGGGTGAGTGGGTGGGTGGGTGAGTGAGTGTGTGGGTGAGTGGGTGGGTGGGTGGGTGAGTGAGTGGGTGGGTGGGTGGGTGTGTGAGTGGGTGGGTGAGTGAGTGGGTGGGTGAGTGGTTGGGTGAGTGGGTGGGTGGGTGGGGGGGTGGGTGAGTGGGTGGGTGGGTGAGTGAGTGGGTGGGTGAGTGGGTGAGTGGGTGAGTGGGTGAGTGAGTGAGTGGGTGGGTGGGTGGGTGTGTGAGTGGGTGGGTGAGTGAGTGGGTGGGTGGGTGAGTGGTTGGGTGAGTGGGTGGGTGGGTGGGGGGGTGGGTGAGTGGGTGGGTGGGTGAGTGGGTGAGTGAGTGAGTGGGTGAGTGAGTGAGTGAGTGGGTGGGTGAGTGGGTGAGTGGGTGAGTGGGTGGGTGAGTGGGTGAGTGGGTGAGTGGGTGGGTGGGTGGGTGAGTGGGTGAGTGGGTGGGTGGGTGAGTGGGTGGGTGGGTGGGTGGTTGGGTGGGTGGGTGGGTGAGTGGGTGGGTGGGTGGGTGGGGGGGTGGGTGAGTGGGTGGGTGGGTGGGTGAGTGGGTTGGTGGGTGAGTAGTGAGTGGGGTGAGTGAGTGAGTGAGTGGGTGAGTGGGTGGGTGAGTGGGTGGGTGAGTGAGTGGGTGAGTGGGTGGGTGGGTGGGTGAGTGAGTGGGTGGGTGAGTGGGTGGGTGGGTGGGTGAGTGAGTGGGTGAGTGAGTGGGTGAGTGGGTGGGTGGGTGGGTGAGTGAGTGGGTGGGTGAGTGGTGGGGGTGAGTGGTGAGTGGGTGGGTGAGTGAGTGGGTGGGTGAGGTGAGTGAGTGGTGGGTGGGTGGGTGAGTGAGGTGGGTGGGTGGGTGAGTGGGTGAGTGGGTGGGGTGAGTGAGTGGGTGGGTGGGTGGGTGAGTGAGTGAGTGGGTGAGTGAGTGAGTGAGTGGGTGAGTGAGTGGGTGGGTGGGTGAGTGAGTGTGTGGGTGAGTGGGTGAGTGGGTGAGTGAGTGGGTGAGTGAGTGTGTGGGTGAGTGGGTGGGTGAGTGAGTGAGTGAGTCAGTGGGTGAGTGGGTACATCAGTCTATGTGGAAGATGCTGCCGATGATGCTGATGATGATGCTGCTGATGATGATAAAGATGCTGATGATGCTGATGCTGCTGCTGATGATGATAAAGATGCTGATGATGATTCCCTGTCTCTCTCTCACAGACTTTCGTGTTCACGGATGGTGAGGACGAGGAACTGAATCGAGAACTTGGTGAGTGGTGGTGGTGAGTGGTGAGTGTGGTGAGTGGTGAGTGTGGTGAGTGTAGTGGTGAGTGTGGTGAGTGGTGAGTGTGGTGAGTGTAGTGGTGAGTGTGGTGAGTGTAGTGAGTGTAGTGGTGAGTGTGGTGGTGAGTGTAGTGGTGAGTGTAGTGGTGGTTGTTGATGTTGCTGATAATGATGTTGTTGATGTTGTTGTTATTGATGTTGTTGTTGATGTTGTTGTTGATGTTGTTGTTGTTGTTAATGTTGATGATGATGTTGATTTTGTTATTGATGTTGTGGATGATGTTGATGATGTTGATGTTGTTGTTGTTATTTATGTTGTTGTTGATGTTGATGATGTTGATGATGTTGTTGTTGTTGTTATTGATGTTGTTGTTGTTGTTGATGTTGTTGATGTTGTTGTTGATGTTGTTGTTGATGTTGTTGTTGATGTTGTTGTTGTTGTTGATGTTGTTGTTGATGTTGTTGTTGATGTTGTTGTTGTTGTTGACAGGGGGCCACTTGCTCCAGACCAACTGCTCCTCTGCGCACTCGCGGCAGGCGCTCTCCTGCAAGATGGCGGTCGAGTTGGACACTTTCCTGCGAGGATCACACAAGTAGAGACACACACACACACAGTGACACACACACAGACACACACAGACACACACACACAGACACACACACAGACACACAGTGACACACACACATAGTGTATATACACAGTCACACACACACAAGTAGAGACACACACACACACACACAGACACACACACACACACACAGACACACACACACACACACAGACACACACACACACAGACACACACACACACACACAGACACACACACACATACAGACACACACACAGACACAGACACACACACACAGACACACACAGACACACACACACAGACACACACACACAGACACACACACATACACACACAGACACACACAGACACATACAGACACACACACAGACACAGACACACACACACAGACACACACAGACACACACACACAGACACACACACACAGACACACACACATACACACACAGACACACACACACACAGACACACACAGACACACACACACAGACACACACACAGACACACTCACCTATTACTCACCTATTCACCCACTCACTCACCTACTCACTCACATACACACTGATACTACTACTAATGATGCTGATACTACTGCTAATGATGCTGATACTACTAGTAATGATACTGATACTACTACTAATGATGCTGATACTACTGATACTACTACTAATGATGCTGATACTACTACTGACAACCCACAGATGGTTTTGCCACGTTGACGACGACACGTACCTCAACACGGCCTCGCTGCTGATACTACTACTACTGATACTATTACTGATGATACTACTGATACTACTAGTAATGATGCTGATACTATTACTAATGATGCTGATACTACTACTGCTTCACCCACAGATGGTTTTGCCACGTGGATGATGACACGTACCTCAACACGGCCTCGCTGATGAAGCTTTTGCGGAGATTCTCTCACCGTGGCGACGTCTACCTGGGCAGACCATCACTAGACCATCCCATGCGCACCCAGCAACAACAGGTGGGGTAACCTGGGGTAACCTGGGGTAACCTGGGGTAACCTGGGGTAACCTGGGGTAACGTGCGTGTCACTGTGTGTGTGACGTCTACCTGGGCAGACCATCACTAGACCATCCCATGCACACCCAGCAACAACAGGTGGGGTAACCTGGGGTAACCTGGGGTAACCTGGGGTAACCTGGGGTAACTGTGTGTGTGTGTCTGTGTGTGTGTCTGTGTGTGTGTGTGTGTCTCTGTGTGTGTGTCTGTGTGTGTGTGTCTCTGTGTGTGTGTCTGTGTGTGTGTGTGTCTATATGTGTGTCTCTCTGTGTGTGTGTCTCTGTGTGTGTGTGTCACTGTGTGTGTGTCACTGTGTGTGTGTCACTGTGTGTGTGTGTGTCTCTGTGTGTGTGTCTGTGTGTCTGTGTGTGTGTGTGTGTCTGTGTGTGTGTGTGTCTGTATGTGTGTCTCTCTGTGTGTGTGTGTCTGTGTGTGTGTCTCTGTGTGTGTGTCTCTGTATGTGTGTCTCTCTGTGTGTGTGTGTCTTTGTGTATGTGTCTCTGTGTGTGTGTCACTGTGTGTGTGTGTCACTGTGTGTGTGTGTGTGTCTGTGTGTGTGTGTGTCACTGTGTGTGTGTGTCACTGTGTGTGTGTCTGTGTTTGTGTGTCTCTCTCTGTGTGTGTCTCTGTGTGTGTGTGTCACTGTGTGTGTGTGTGTGTCTGTGTGTGTGTGTGTCACTGTGTGTGTGTGTCACTGTGTGTGTGTGTGTCTGTGTTTGTGTGTCTCTCTGTGTGTGTGTCTCTGTGTGTGTGTGTCACTGTGTGTGTGTCACTGTGTGTGTGTGTCTCTGTGTGTGTGTCTGTGTGTGTGTGTCTCTGTGTGTGTGTGGGGTAACCTATCTGTGTGTGTGAGGTAACCTCTCTCTCTCTCTGTGTGGTAACCTCTGCAGGAGGGTGCTGCTGAGTTCTGGTTTGCGACCGGCGGAGCCGGTTTCTGCCTCAGCCGTGGACTTACTCTGAAGATGTCTCCCTGGGTCAGGTGAGTTACTCACCACTCACTCATCATTCACTCACTACTCACTCAGTCACTCACTCACTCACCCACTCACTCACTCAGCCACTCACTCACTCAGTAACTCACTCACTCAGCCACTCACTCACTCAGTCACTCAGTCACTCACCCACCCACTCACTCACCACTCACCCACCCACCCACTCACTCACCCACTCACCCACCCACCCATTCACCCACTCACGCACCCCCCCACTCACCCACCCACTCACTCACCCACTCACCCACTCACCCACTCACCCACTCACTCACCCACCCACCACCCACTCACTCACTCACTCACCTACCCACCTCACTCACCCACCCACCTACCCACCTACTCACCCACCTCACTCACCCACCCACTCACTCAGTCACTCACTCACTCACCACCCTACCCACCCACCCACTCACCCACGCACCCACCCACTTACCCACTCACTCACTCACCACTCACCCACTCACCCACCCACCACTCACTCACTCACCCACTCACCCACTCACTCACTCACCCACTCACCACTCACCCACCCACTCACCACTCACCCACCCACCCACTCACTCACCCACTCACTCACTCACCCACTCACTCACTCACCCACTCACCCACTCACTCACCCACTCACTCACTCACCCACTCACCCACTCACTCACCCACTCACTCACTCACTCACTCACCCACTCACCCACTCACTCACTCACCCACTCACCACTCACCCACCCACTCACCACTCACCCACCCACCCACTCACGCACCCACCCACCCACTCACTCACCCACTCACTCACCCACTCACCCACCCACTCACCCACTCACTCACCCACCCACTCACTCACTCACTCACCCACCCACCCACTCACTCACCCACCCACCCACCCACTCACCCACCCACTCCCTCACTCACCCACCCACCTACTCACCCACCCACCCACATTGTTGTTGTTGTGGTTGTTGTTGTTGTGGTGGTGGTAGTGGTGGAGAGTTCATGGCAACTGCGGACAAGATCCGCCTGCCAGACGACTGCACGGTGGGGTTCGTGAGTGAATGGCTCCTGCGAGTTCCACTCACCCACTCACCACTCTTCCATTCTCACCTGGAGGGACTGGCTCAGCTGCCCACTGACTCACTCACCAGCCAGGTGAGTAACTCACTCACTCACCTACTCACTCACCCACTCACTCACTCACTCACCCAGTTACTCAGCCACTCACCCAGTCACTCACACAGCCACTCACTCACCCACTCACTCACTCACCCACTCACCACTGTTCCATTCTCACCTGGAGGGACTGGCTCAGCTGCCCACTGACTCACTCACCAGCCAGGTGAGTAACTCACTCACTCACCTACTCACTCACCCACTCACTCACTCACTCACTCACCCAGTTACTCAGCCACTCACCCAGTCACTCACACAGCCACTCACTCACTCACTCACCCACTCACCACTGTTCCATTCTCACCTGGAGGGGCTGGCTCAGCTGCCCACTGACTCACTCACCAGCCAGGTGAGTAACTCACTCACTCACCTACTCACTCACCCACTCACTCACTCACTCACCCAGTTACTCAGCCACTCACCCAGTCACTCACACAGCCACTCACTCACCCACTCACTCACTCACCCACTCACCACTGTTCCATTCTCACCTGGAGGGACTGGCTCAGCTGCCCACTGACTCACTCACCAGCCAGGTGAGTAACTCACTCACTCACCTACTCACTCACCCACTCACTCACTCACTCACTCACTCACCCAGTTACTCAGCCACTCACTCAGCCACTCACCCAGCCACTCACCCACTCACTCACTCACTCACTCACCCACTCACCACTGTTCCATTCTCACCTGGAGGGGCTGGCTCAACTGCCCACTGACTCACTCACCAGCCAGGTGAGTAACTCACTCACTCACCCAGCCACTCACCCACTTACTCAGTCACTCACCCAGTTACTCAGCCACTCACCCAGTCACTCACACAGCCACTCACTCACCCACTCACTCACTCACCCACTCACCACTGTTCCATTCTCACCTGGAGGGACTGGCTCAGCTGCCCACTGACTCACTCACCAGCCAGGTGAGTAACTCACTCACTCACCTACTCACCCACTCACTCACTCACCCAGTTACTCAGCCACTCACCCAGTCACTCACACAGCCACTCACTCACTCACCCACTGACTCACTCACCAGCCAGGTGAGTAACTCACTCACTCACCTACTCACTCACCCACTCACTCACTCACCCAGTTACTCAGCCACTCACCCAGCCACTCACCCAGCCACTCACCCACTCACTCACTCACTCACTCACCCACTCACCACTGTTCCATTCTCACCTGGAGGGACTGGCTCAACTGCCCACTGACTCACTCACCAGCCAGGTGAGTAGCTCACTCACTCACCTACTCACTCACCCACTCACTCACTCACTCACTCACCCAGTTACTCAGCCACTCACTCAGCCACTCACCCAGCCACTCACCCAGCCACTCACCCACTCACTCACTCACTCACTCACCCACTCACCACTGTTCCATTCTCACCTGGAGGGGCTGGCTCAACTGCCCACTGACTCACTCACCAGCCAGGTGAGTAACTCACTCACTCACCTACTCACTCACCCACTCACTCACTCACCCAGTTACTCAGCCACTCACTCAGCCACTCACCCAGCCACTCACCCACCCACTCACTCACTCACCCACTCACCACTGTTCCATTCTCACCTGGAGGGGCTGGCTCAACTGCCCACTGACTCACTCACCAGCCAGGTGAGTAACTCACTCACTCACCCAGCCACTCACCCAGTTACTCAGCCACTCACCCAGCCACTCACCCAGCCACTCACTCACTCACCCAGCCACTCACCCAGTTACTCAGCCACTCACTCAGCCACTCACCCACCCACCCACCCACTCACTCACTCACCCACTCACCCACCCACTCACTCACCCAGCCACCCACCCACCCACTCACTCACCCACCCACACACCCAGCCACTCACTCACTCACTCACCCACTCACTCACCCAGCCACTCACGTCACTCACTCACCCACTCACTCACCCAGCCACTCACTCACTCACTCACCCACTCACTCACCCAGCCACTCACCCCACCCACTCACCCACCCACTCACTCACCCACCACTCACCACTCACCCCACCCACTCACCCACCCACCCACTCACCCAGCTCACCCCCACCCCACATCTCACCACCCACTCACCACTCACCACACACTCACCCACTCAACCCACCCACCCACTCACCCACTCACCCACCCACCCACTCACTCACCCACTCACCCACCCACTCACTCACCCCCCTCCCCACTCACCACCCACTCACCACTCACTCACCACCCACCCACTCACCCACCCACTCCTCACTCACTCACCCACTCACCCACTCACTCACCCACCCACCCACTCACCCACCTCACTCACTCACTCACCCACTCACCCACTCACTCACCCACCCACTCACTCACTCACCCACTCACCCACTCACTCACCCACCCATCACTCACCTCACCCACTCCCCAACCCACCACTCCCCCAGCCACTCACCCACTCACCACCCACTCACCACTCACCACCCACTCACCACTCACCACCACACTCACCCACTCACCACCCACCACCCAGCCACTCACCCACTCACCCTCACTCACCCACCCACTCACTCACCCACTCACCCACTCACTCACCCACACCACTCACTCACTCACCCACTCACCCACCCACCACTCACCCACTCACCCAGCCACTCACCACGCACCACCCACTCACCACACCACCCACTCACCACTCACCCCCACTCACCCCACTCACCCACCCACTCACCCAGCCACTCACCACTCACCCACTCACTCACCCACCCACTCACTCACTCCACTCACTCACCACCACACCCACTCACTCACTCACCCACTCACCACCCACCCACTCACCCCTCACCCAGCCCTCCCCCTCACCACCCACCACCACTCCCACCCACTCACCACTCACCACCACCACCACTCACCCACCCACTCACCCAGCCACTCACCCACTCACCCACTCACTCACCCACCCACTCCCACTCACCACTCACCACTACACTCACCCACCCCTCACTCACTCACCACCTCACCCACCCACCCACTCACCCACTCACCAGCCACTCACCCACTCACCCCCCACTCACCACTACCACCCACTCACCACTC